TCCCCTAGAAAATGGTACTCCACAGGGCAGTATCCTCAGCCCCACCCTCTTCAATATAATGATAAACGATCTGTTCGAGGGCCTATCCCCTAAGGTAAACACATCAAAATTCGCGGATGATGGAGCCCTCTGGATCCGCACTAAAAGCATGAACATGGTCCAAAATTTACTCCAAAAATCTCTTAATAAAATACACCAATGGGCTGACAAATGAGGCTTCTCCCTTAACTCAGAAAAAAACAACAGGAATAGTATTCAAACATAAAAACATGAAACCCGCCTCCCCAATCCTCCAGCTAAACAATCAAACAATCAAATTTCAAAAACAAACCAAATTCTTAGGACTTATTTTCGATGAACATCTCACCTGGGATGCTCACATCCAAAACCTAACAACTAAATGCAGTAAAGACCTAAACACCCTAAGATGCCTAACTGGCTCTAACTGGGGTGCATCCAAAGATACCCTCCTCTCTCTCTACATATCACTAATTAGATCAAAACTAGACTACGGCTGCGCAATATACAACACCCTAAACAACTCTCTATCTAAAATACTTGACTCAATACAATATCAGGCTCTCAAACTAATTACACGCACCCAACATGGCACCTCCTACACCTCACTTCAGGCCTTAACAGGAGAAATGCCACTAAGTCTACGCAGAGAACAGCTAAGCTTAAATTTCTGGGCCGCGTCCCAATCAAACCCTCTCATCCAAAACTTAATAAACCAAAACATCAGCCCGAAAAACCAAGCTCTAGCTCGTAAACACCCCTTACTTACCCCAATATCCCAAAGAATAACAAACTACCTAAATGAACACCAAATTAAAAATCTTAAACAAAACTGCAAACAATCAAATATCTTCACCCCTAAACTTAAAATACCCAAAACAGACACAACACTAGCTAGCCAAATAAATAAACAAACCGACCCAAACATAGCTAAAACTACCACACTAGCATACCTACACGAAAATTGGCCCAAGTGGTGTCACAATTTACACGGATGGATCCTCAGATCCGACCTCCAAACACACAGGTTTCGGAGTCCATACCACACAACCAACTAAAACCACACGATCCTTCCGACTCCCAAACAACCAATCAATATTCACGGCAGAACTAATGAGCATGGCCTCAGCCCTCCATAATCAAGAATCCAAAAAACACAACAAAATCCTAATACTTACCGACTCCCTAAGTGGACTGCAAGCCCTCCAAAACAAAAATACCAAAAACCGACCTAAATTAATAAATCAAATACTTAAAAGCTCCAACGACCTAACTAAGGCAGGCAAACAAATAACCTTCTTGTGGATACCCGCCCACATAGGAATATACGGTAATGAAAACGCCGATAAAGCAGCTAAACTTTCCCTCAAAATCCCAGAAATAAGCTTAAACCTACCCATCTCAAAATCAGAAATTAAAAGTGTAAACAAGCAAAAAATAACAAAAATGGCATAACCTATATCTAAACTCAAATAGCCAAATCAAACAAGTGCTCAGCAAACCACTAACCAAACCAAAAATTCTCCATTCATCCAAAAAAATCGACAGAGTAATCACTAAACTCCAAACAGGACACACCAACCTAAATAACCATCTAAAACAAATTACAAAACACACTACAGGTAACTGCCCACACTGCAAACAACCAGAAACCCCAGAACACGCACTCATCCACTGCACACACTACCTAACACATCGAACCGCATTACAAACCACCCTCTATCTAAACAAGGCTCTCACTCTAGAAGCAATACTAAACCCACAAAATAAACTAGAAAACTTCAAGGCCTTAGGCGTATTCTTAATCAAAATGGAACTAATAAAACGCATCTAAAAACACAATAACCTACCAAATCAAAATCACATAAACAAACAAACATCCACCATACCCAGCTCCCTTAGTTCTCCTCCCCAATCCCATCTGCTTCTATTCCAAATCTCAAAATTCCCAAATTCTATATCAGCAACCCCTAACCCCCCCACCCCCCCTCTTGGGTTGCACAGACCACTTTCGCCCCTTTCGGAAACACATTAAATGGCCTGGCCGGGCCCGTGTGCGAAATACGCATCAGTCGGAAAGCGCACGTTAAATCTCCAAAGTAACTAAGTAAGTAAGTATGCTGTCAGATTACAAATTTTCACAATGGCCTTTCAATGTGTCATTTGAACATGTTGAAAGGTTTTACAAGGGATATTTGTCAGTAATAACTGATGCTATTTCTGCCCTTACATTACAACAAATATATCAGCCAATAGGGAACTATTTTATTGATATGTGGCAACAAACATACTTCAGGCTGTACAGTTTACCACTGGGTTAATATCTATGTCATCTTGTTCCTCCGTATGTCTGGGCAGTTGCTCACTACAATTTCGGAACTTCTTTACAGTTACAGACAGAAAATACCAGAACCGTTAACTATTACAAACCAAATACTGTATGGGTTTCACTGAAAGTGTCGCCACAACTGAAAATCTTCAAATACCTGTATTTGGCCATAACTTTGACTATTTTGTTCTGTTCCTGCCTATTATCTATTCTTGCCTCAGGTAAGGATGCAGTGATTTATTTAAGTGCACACATATATCACAGATAAACTCCTGAAGTCTATGAAAGTTATTTACAAGTGATACACATAAGGACTTAAAGGAGGAAATTATTGATGTCAACTTCTTTATTATGAGGCTAACAACATTTCGGAGTATATACTTACTCCTTCATTAGATGAATATTCACAATTCTGCTCCAATTTCGTAGATCAATGCTCATACTGTCAACCATATTTGCCATTTTTATATCATATTCATGTGTATAATACATTTTATTTTTAATAATGGCGTAATTTTGGACACACAAATATAAAGTAACCCAATACTTGCTGTAACAGGCGATTATGCTTGTCTAAAGAGTTGACTAATGCGGTCAGATGGCGGTCAGGCTCGGTGACTTGGTTGATGCATGTCGTTGATCCCAATTATGTGGGTCGGTGCTCATGATGTCAATCACTGGAGTGTCTGGTCCAAACTCGATTATTTACATATAGACGGAATATTGCTGAGTGCAGCATAAAACAAACCAAATCATAAGTGCGGGATGGGTTATTTGAAATTAGCAAGTTTTACAGCCTGATATGAGTCGTGAAAAGATATGACTTTGATTCAGTGAAAATTTGCATCATGATAGTTTCAACTGTAGGTACAGTTCATCTGTTTTTTGTGCAGTTTCTGTTTATTATTTGTATATGTTGTTCAAATCAGCTTTGCCTCTTCACCAACCCTATTCCTCTTTTGGAATAAATAGTGTCTAATAATTCAAATTCCATCACTACTAATCATCCTAGTGAACACAACAAAGAAATGCACATCAAAACCGTCATTATTAATATTTCTGATGATAGATCACTGATCAAGTAGAAAAAAACTGTCATCCAGCAAGAAACATTTCATTGGTCCCAAGAAGCATGTTACATAGTAAACTGACTTGGTAAGTCGAATAGCAGTCAGGGTGGTTGTAAATGCACAACTGACTAAGCCGTCACTTCTCAATTAAGTAATTAACAGACAATTGCATGCGCTAATACCCACCCGACACTAATTGCCCTGTTAATCCCTAGTCCACAATGAGTTGACATTGAGTTCATTTAGCTAATTAGCTGTTTTTAGAGTAGCAAGGTAATTAACATCAAAGGTGGGGCAGGCTTTGATCATGTGTTCTGTAGAAGAGATGACGTCACTTGTTTTATGTTTATTTAGAATTAGCTACATCCCTTGATGCTACCAAGGCAACCCTTGAGATTATCAGACAGCTTGGCTGGACACAAACCGTGTGCGAAATACGCTACAGTTTGAAAGCGTACATTAAATCTCTAAATAATTGTTTTTAAAAGATAGGATCAATGATAAAATGTGAGAGTCTCTAGGGGAGGCTTATGACAAAATGGACAATAAAATATAAAGGGCTATGCATTTTCTTTGAGGGAGGGTAGTGTCAATAATGAATGAGAACATACGGGTAATACATGACCGGCCCCTTTAATGTAATGGCCTTAGTTTTTAGTTGATGGTTCAGGTTGTACTTTTCAGTTGAATTTCTTATCACTGTCTATGTTGGACTACCAATTAAGTGGAGATATTAAATATCCATAATAACTGAGATAAATACTTCTACTGTCTCATCCTAATTTGTAAAAAAATTGAATTTCAATATAGCTTCCAATAATGAATTTATGAATTTGAAGAGAATATCTATTGTCTGAAATCCTAATGTGCTTTCTATTGTATTTGGTGTGCTAGGGTAGCCTAGTGGGTAAACAGTCTCTGAAACCCGGATTCAATTCACCACATGGGTACGATGTGTGAAGCCCATAGCTGGAATATTGCTAACAAGCTGCATGAAAACTATACCAACTCACTCGCTCATTATGTTGTATTTTGAGATCACTTACATGACCTGTGTTTTGATTATTATGAATAGTTCTGTTTTTAGGTATAAGAACCTATGTAAGTTAGTTTTTCATTCTCTTGTTTACCCTTCCTTACATTTTGATGTAATGCAAACATTCAAGCAAAATTCAGGTGAGTGAGTGAGTATGGTTTTATGCCGCTTTTAGCAATATTCCAGCAATATCATGGCGGGGGACACCAGAAATGGGCTTCACACATTGTACCCATGTCGGGAATCGAACCCGGTTCTTCGGCGTGACAAGTGAATGCTTTAACCACTAGGCTACCCGACCGCCCCAAAATTCAGGTGAACCTTGTGGTGCTTAAGGTATTGTTTAAGAAGACCGGATACATTTTTTGTATTTTCTGAACACTTTTCTGTTTGCAATGGCTTATTTACATGTTCAAAGATTGGTTAAATATCAGTTGCAAGATAAATTGTCAATACCTCACTGTTCGAGAAAACAACATTTGTAAATATATGTGTGTTTCATAATTTTTGAATAGCAAGTTTCTTAAGATGTTATGAATTGTTTCAGGTACCTGGATTTCACAATCTGACACCAGCTACATTTAAGAAGATCTTGATCACACAATTCAGACAAGGGACTCGCCGGGTGATGAATAATCCTCCCGATATCAACCAACAGATTCACCTCAAAAAGTGATGATTCTTAATGAATAATGCCACATCAGTGCGACTGTAGGTGGTTAAATTATGACACTTATCAAGTCTGAATGAATTTATGCCTAAGCACTGTGACTATGTCCAGGTTGTGTACACCGACGCTGACTATACTTTTGTGGTTTACTGCAGCAACATAATTGACTTTAGATATTTTTCTTTCATGAAATTCTTTGAGATTTGACTAATTTGTTTATTTAGAAAATGGCATTGAAGCGTCTGTTCTGTAAGGCCTTGCAAACACCACTGGTTACTTTATGCTAGTTCCTCTTCTTGCTTGATCACATTTCAATTTGTGATATTTACCAATGAAATGCCATATAATCAATAAACAAGATTTCTTTTCTCCAAAAACATTATTTGTTTTGCCTCATTAGCATAAAGAAATATAATACTGATCAGCCATAACATAAGTGCTGAACAAATATAAAATATATTATGCCCTGAATGTTTTTCACTATAAATACAGCTCACTTAACAAAAGTTGTAGGTCCACATTTGTAGACAAATGACATTGATATTTTTTTTGGTACTTTATTTAGGTGTTTTCTATGAATGTCATTAGTCTTATGCGCCAATTTGGGACAACTGTATTCTGTTTCATGTTCCCATGAAACTACACTGTCCAGATATAACAAGTACTATTACCGTTCCAAACTATTCTTTTAATCTCACCAGGGCCAAATGACAAAGCACATAGCCAATGACTTTCCATTCTTTCTGAGTGAGAATGCTGTTTTGCCACTTTTAGCAATATTGCAACAATATCATGGTGGGGGACACAAGCAATAAGCTTCACACATTTGACTCATGTCGCGAAACGAAATTGTGAACAATGTATTCCCCCAGATCTCAGTTTTAAGAGGATATTTACAATTAAAATAACACAGAATATAACAACAGCTATCTGATATGCACTGGCTAAAATTAATAACTAGAGTCAAGACATGAAGAAAATTTGCATCCGGATACTTTCCAGAAACCTTCCAGATACCTTCAGTAACCTTCAAACTTCTTGGTATTTTCAAGATAATTTTGTTATGTGTTTCACACTTAACTGAACAAAATGCACCCCCCAATTTTTTTTCCCGATTGGTATCAGGCCTGGATCCAAAATTGGTAGGTATCCGGAAGGTTTCCGGAAGACGGAAACCTACACTTTTTTAGCTGTGTTTGAAGCAATGTAACCAAATTACCCCTATTTGGCCCCACCCCTGAGCCCCTTCGGGAGTCAGCCCCACCATTTGTACAATTTTAAATCCCCACCACCTAGGGATGCTTCCAACCAAATATGGTTGATATCTATATCTTAGTTCCAGAGAAGAAGTCGTTTGAAGCAATATAGCCAAATTACCCCTATTTGGCCCCACCCCTCAGCTCCTTGGGGAGTCAGCCCCACCATTTGTACAATTTTGAATCCGCAACACCTAGGGATGCTTCCAGTCAAATTTCGTTAATTTTTAATAAGTGGTTCAGAAGAAGAAGTCTTTAGAATACATTGTTGACGTACGGACGACGGACGCCACGATATGGCATAAGCTCACCTGCATAATTTTCGTTGTGACCTTCATGATCTTACTCTGAATCATTGATGAAGACGTTCCAGCTAAAGAATGTTATTCCACTCCAGTAGGATGACAATTTCATGTTTTGAGATAAATATATTCCATCACTAAATATGCTAAATACATAATAAATGTATGATATTTACAGAACAAAAGTCTAAATTGACAACATCAAAAATGATGTAGGGGCGCCGTTACTTTCAAAATATACATCAACGACAATAAAACAAAACATGATGGCCAAAAACAGTTAAGTCCTCTAAGGGTCTTTCTCATGAACATCAGAAACTGTTCTTACCTCTTTATCCCATTTAATTTGAGTATTCCTGTTCCAGTAATAGGTTTCCTAAAACAAATGTCAGACAAAACATTTAATATACTTAACAACAAAAGTTTCTGTGACATTGAACACGATTTAATGCAAAGTTATGTTTTTTACCAAATCTGAAACAATTTCGGTTTGCAACAGATAAAAGACTCCTAGTGTTTAAATGGTTTAATTTGCCATACTGACTTCAGAAAATGCTTGATTTCATAAAAAAACATGAACAAGCCAAAATGTCAATTTACAAATCGATAGCGTGTGTGTCCACCTCTGGTTGTGATGCAAGCAACACATCTTCGTCTCATGGAATTGACCAGGCGTCGCACAAAGTCCTGTGGGATATCTGTCCATATCTGCTGGAGCATGTTTCGAAGTTCCTGGAGTGTCTGTGGGACATGTGGTTACCGTCGAAGCGCTGATCCAGCTCATCCCACATGTGCTCGATTGGTGAGAGATCAGGGGAGTGAGTCAGCCAGGGGATGACATTCACGTTGTTTTGTTGAAGAGAATCCTGAACAAATCGAGCAATAATATGGAAGGGCTTTGTCATGTTGAAAGGTAATGCCTCGGCCATGGTGACGCAAAAACGGTAGAACAGGGCCGATGATCTCTCGCGGTAGCGCTGTCCATTGAGATTTCCCTCTACCACTATCACACAGGTCCTATGTCTTGCTGGAAACCAACCCCACACATAACGATGCCGTCCCTGAACCGATCTTATTCCATGACACAATGATTGACGTAACGTTCACCTCGACGTCGGTACACTCGAGTCCATCTAGAGCTGTGGCTGAGGTGGAAATGAGACTCGTCAGTGAATAGAACTTGTCCCCACTGCATGTCCGTCCAGCGTTGACGCTGTCTGCACCACTATAGACGGGCTCTTGACGGTGGTTTCCTGTCAAAATAGGATGTCTGGCGGGTCTTTTGGCGACAATCCCTGCATATCTGAGGCGGCGATGTACGGTTTGAGAAGATATTCGTTGAAGGCCAGGGATGCCTCTTTCAGTCACTGTTGCTGGCCGGAATCGATTTCATAGGTGTGTTCATTGAATCCAGTTGTCTTGTCGATTATTGGTTACGCGTGGCCTGCCACTCCGAGGATTGTCTCTGACTGCATTCGTCTGTAGCCAACGTTGCAATAAACACCAAATGGTGTTTCTGTGGACGTTTAATTGTCTTGCAACATCACGTTGACTTGATCCTGCTTTAAGCATACCAATGGCTCGCAGGCGCTCATTTTCGGAGGGGCGGTCGGGTAGCCTAGTGGTTAGAGCGTTCGCTCGTCACGCCTAAGAACCAGTAGACTGGAAACCATAATGATGCCTTATTTTCTGCCAAATGTCCTGAACGGATCTTGAGTTTTTGATTATAGAATTTCTTGAAATAACAGGACAGAAAATAGCAATCTGGCCTAGCATCAAGTCTAGTTGAGCATTTTTCACTAAGGCATCTCAACGAGCCCGTCAGGCCGATGGTGTCACCCTAATAAAAGTGGTAGGCGAGGTTCAGTGTACTCTCGGTCCTAGCAATGTGGGGGTTCCCATCTCAAAAAACATGACCCCCATGTCAGGATGTTACGTCTAATGGTCACGTGATTAGAATTGCAAACACAACTGGCAATGAGTGAATGAGTGAGTTGGGATTAACGCCGCTTTTAACAGTATTCCAGTTATATCGCGGCGTGTCAGCTTAATGTGGGAGGAAAGCCCGAAGTGATGCAGGTCTGAGACGTTTACCACTTCGGTGAAACCCACGAGCTCGGGTATGGTGCTGACAAACCTAGAAACATAATCGGGGCGAACCGGGATTCGAACCCACAATCATAGGTTTCTGGTGTGCCCAAGGGACGCAACTCTGCACAGCGAATCGCGGCGCCTTAGACGACTGGGCCACCCATGCCCCTGACAATGAAATCATACTTTAGAATCATGAACACTTTTGTCAAGGGAGACCAATTACAAGGATTCACATCCTGTGATGAACCAGCCAAATCTCCACCAACTGCAGGTACCTCCAGACCTTTTTCTAAGTGTGTCCTCAGATTCCATCCTTCCTGATGATATGTGTCAAAGATTTACCTCTCTCTATGAAGAGTTTGATGATGTGTTCAACCCTTCAATCTCCAAGTACAATGGAGCGAACAGAGACAGGAAGGCTGTGGTTAACATGGGACCGACACTTCCCCTTCAACAGATAGGCTGTTTACAGCAATATAATTAGGAAATGATGGACATGTTACAAGCAAAGTTTGATGAACTTGAGGCACAAGGGGTATTCGCCAAACCGGAAAAGCTTAACGTTACAATTGAATACCTAAACATCAAACAACAGTTATCATTGTGTATAATTCTGAGAATACTACCTCTATTACATCATAGCCACAATTCCCATTGTGGCAATGATCACACTATACAATCTTTAAGTTTTTTTCCAACAGACGTCCTCTTCACTGAAAATTATCCCATAGTTTTGAGGTAAATCCTATCTCTTGTCAAACTGCACCTGCACATGTGGAAGGCGGGAAAACATCACTTCTTTCCAACAACCCCTTTAATCAGCTAGATATAAGATATATTTGGGAGGTGGGAAGGACCATTTCCTTATGTAATAGCGGTAGTATTCTTAGAATTATACACAATGATAACTGTTGTTTGATAATTCCTGTGAAAACCCTACCTCTATTACATCATAGCCAGTATTTACCAGAGGGAAAGGTGGGATCTGCCATCTTGTACTCCCGGAGAATTGGCAGCAGTAAAGTAAGGGAACATGGGTGAAAAGGGGAATAAACCAATGCCATACTTCTTGATGTCACCCTTGGCAAACCTGTAGAAGACTTGGCACTTGTGGCATCCTTCCCGTTTTATGACCTAATCAACTGAAGCCGGAAACTTGCATCTTTGTTGCGATAGTTTCCAGGCGTGAAGGTGGAGATTTGTCAGGTTGCCGTAAAATATGTCCGATTTGGGTTGGTGGAGGAGATTGAGACGTTCTGGCAGTTTGAGAGGCTCTTCTTTGAGAAGTGGAATCAGTCTTGGAAACCATCTCTGTTGGGCCACGCTGGGGCAATCAGAATCATGACGCAATCTGTGTCCTCTATCTTTCTTATAACTCTGTCCAGGAGAGACCAAGGAGGGAAGGCGTAGGCGAATATCCTTTGCCAACTCATGGATAGGGCATCGACCTGAAGGGCTGATGAATCTGGGACTGGGCTGACGTAAACGGGAAGTCAGGAGGAGGAGTTTTTTTTGTTGTGGTTGGCAGGCAAAGCAACGATGAAAGCGTTCTTTCGGGAGAGTGGGGTGGCCCTGAAAAGAGCCGTTTGAAGAGGAAGAAGACGAAGAAGAAGAAATCATGACAACCGCTACGAAATCATTGATCATCCATCAGTACTGCATGATCTGATGATGACATGTAGTGCCTTTTACAAAGGTTTCTATGAAATGTTGAGTGCGAAAATAAGGACCGTCTAAATATATATAAAAATTTCCTAAATATTGCCTGCGGCTGCACATTTTATAACAAGTGCTTGTTTATGAAAGCACCTTTATTTTCTATATGTTTTTTATTTCATTTTTTAACTTATTCCACTGGTTAAAATGATTATATATTGAAACTTATAATGTGCAATATGCGGGTTATAGCTAAAACGACACCTTAGCAAAACGGCACTGATTGGCGAAATACTCGCTAAAAGCAAAAACGGCAATTATTACTTGACGAAAATGACATCTTATTTTTTTTTACCTTGGTTAAATTAATAAAATTGAACTTGGATTGATGACTTGCAAAGACCAATAATTTTGAAATGTTAAAACAAGTTTGCATTAGAAACTAGCCTCTACTCCAACTTATACTATACACGACTCAATTTATTGTGATAACCTGCTTTGAAGTAAACTATATGGAATTAAACACATATCGTCTCACACAAATAGTTGTTAAACATTGAAACAAGTTTACCTTAGAAATTAGCCCCCTACTCGTATTTACTTGCCGACTCTGATTGGCAGACGCAGCTAACTTATTGTGAATAGATTATACGCTTTAAAGTTTAAAGTACTCAATGTCAAGCTGAAACTGTATTTAAGAATCCTAACATGGTGCTGTCAGCCCCAGGCTTAGACCTTACTTCATACCAGATAATTAAACAACTACCACCCAAACTACTCCTAACTCTTCTGAAACTCTATAACCTCATATATCTAAACGGACAGGTCCCATCACCTTGGAAACAAGCCCTGGTCATACCAATCCCCAAACCCAATAAACCAGCTGACCAGGCTTATTCATACAGACCAATCTCCCTAACTTCTAACTTATGCAAAGTAATGGAATCAATGGCAAAAAACAGGTTACAACACTACTTGGGACAAAACAACATAATAAATCCAGACCAAAGCGGTTTCACTCCTGGACGCTCAACCTTAGATAACCTCGCCCGACTAGAGCAGGACATTAAAACAGGCCAACTTTACAAACAATATACTACAGGCATCTTTCTAGACTTCTCCAAAGCATTCGACATGGTTTGGCATAACGGGCTAATACCAAACTACAAAAATAGGTCTTAAAGGTCAAATAATTAACTACATCCAAAGTTTCCTTACAAACCGCAAAAGCACCGTGGACATAGACCAAACGCTATCGGACCAATGTCCCCTAGAAAATGGCACTCCCCAGGGCAGCATCCTAAGCCAAATACTCTTCAATATTATGATAAACGATCTATTCGAGGGACTATCCCCCAAAGTAAACATCTCAAAATTCGCGGATGATGGAGCCCTCTGGATCCGCACTAAAAGCATTAAAATGGCCCAAAACTTACTACAAAAATCTCTAAATAAAATACAAAATGGGCTGACAAATGGGGCTTCTCCCTAAACTCAGAAAAAAAACACAGGAATAGTATTTAAACACAAAAATATGCAACCCACCTCCCTAAACCTCCAACTAAACAACAAACCAATCAAATTCCAAAAACAAACCAAATTCTTAGGATTAATCTTCGATGAACA